TACAGCAGAGGATAACATGTCAACTACATACAGAAAAGTATATTATGTTATTAATGGTGAACGCCTTACTAGTATACAGCAGAGGATAACATGTCAACTACATACAGAAAAGTATATTATGTTATTAATGGTGAACGCCTTACTAGTATACAGCAGAGGATAACATGTCAACTACATACAGAAAAGTATATTATGTTATTAATGGTGAACGCCTTACTAGTATACAGCAGAGGATAACGTGTCAACTACATACAGAAAAGTATTTATGTTATTAATGTTATATGAATGCAGGAAATTAAAAAAAAATCCTCTTCACTATTTTTTGCACGGTAATTAAAATTCGCGTTTTCGGTCAGACAACAACTTCACTATGAAAGAACAATGTCAAACTCCGTGTGAAATGTTGATCAAATGTTACCACAAGATGCATGTAATGTTGACATGACTCAAAACATCAAAATTACCTAGAGCCAGTGATGATCTTAGAATGATGGGTGCCAAGATCCCCCTTCATTAATCATTTCATAACTAACATTTTGTTCTTACTTAACATGGCCATATGTTGAAATGTGACCCAGTGTTATAACATTGTCTTATGCTAGAATTTGGCCCTCTGTTATAACATGGCACTATATTGAAATGTGATCCCGTGTTATAACATGGCACTATGTTATAGTTTGGCCCTGTGTTATAACATGGCCCTATGTAATATATTAGCCCTGTGTTATAACTTGGCCCTATGTTGTAATTTGGCCCTTTGTTATAACATGGCCCTTTGTTATAACATGGCCCTATGTTATAATTTGGCCCTGTATTATAACATGGCCCTTTGTTATAATTTGACCCTGTGCTATAACATGGTTATATGTTATATTTTGAACCTGTGTTATAACATGGCCCTTTGTTATAATTTGGCACTGTGTTATAATATGACCTTTTGATATAATTTGCCCCTGTGTTATAACATGGCCCTATGTTGTAACTTGCCCCTGTGTTATAACATGGCCCTATGTTGTAATTTGGCCCTGTGTTATAGCATGACCCTATGTTGTAACTTGCCCCTGTGTAATAACATGGCACTGCAGTTGACCTGTATTTTAACATTTCCCTGTGTTATAACATGGCCCTAATTTGTAATTTGGCCCTGTGTTATAACATGGCCCTATGTTATAACTTGCCCCTGTGTTAAAACACGGCACTGCAGTTGACCTGTATTTTAACATTTCCCTGTGTTATAACATGGCCCTATTTTGTAATTTGCCCCTGTGTTATAACATGGCCCTGTGTTATAACATGGCCCTATTTTGTAATTTGGCCCTATGTTATAACTTGCCCCTGTGTAATAACATGGCACTGCAGTTGACCTGTATTTTAACATTTCCCTGTGTTATAACATGGCCCTATTTTGTAATTTGGCCCTATGTTATAACTTGCCCCTGTGTTATAACACGGCACTGCAGTTGACCTGTATTTTAACATTTCCCTGTGTTACAACATGGCCCTATTTTGTAATTTGGCCCTATGTTATAACATGGCCCTGTGTTAAAACATGGCACTGTGGTTGACCTGTGCTATATAATGACCCTGTGTTATAACATGCCCCTGTGTTATAACTTGCCCCTGTGTTATAAAATGGCACTGCAGTTGACCTGTATTTTATCATGGCCATGTGTTTCAGCAAGGCCCTTTGGTTGACCTCATTGTTACATGGCCCTATGTTGTAATGCGACACTATTTTTCAACATGGCCCTGTATTATAACATGGCCCTGTGTTGTAGCACGGCCCTTTGTTATAACTTGGCCCTTGTGTTGAAGCATGGCCCTGTGTTGTAATGAAGTATGGTCTGTGTTGTGTAACTGACATATAATTAATTATTATAAGAAAGGATCAATCAATACAAATTGCCAGTCTAAGAGTTATTCATTTTAAAACATTTTTGGCAATATGTGGTCACGGCTAATATTAATGTACAATATTTGGCTGCCACAAATGGTCAGCCACAATTAACACTTAATTCAACGGTATTCAATCAATTCAACACATTCAATTATATTCACTCAATTCAACATATTCAATCAAATTTTCAATCAATTCAACATATTCAATTGTATTCAATGAATTCAACACATTCAATTGTATTCAATGAATTCAACATATTCATTTGTATTCAATCAATACAAAGAATTCATCATGTCTATATGAATCCACCAGTAGTTCAATATTTGATCCAATTCACTTAATGAGAGATATACATGAAATTTAAACTATTCACCAGAATTCACTTCCATAATTTAAAATCATCTTAAATACCTAAAAGTATATTTTGATCCCGATAACAGCGATCAAAATGCATTACTTCCATTAATCATTGTCCCAATAACTTTCAAAGATTTGCCATGATCCTGATGACAGCGATCAAACAGTAATACCATCATTTGCTGAGTAATCACCTCTAGGAATCACAGTAAAAGCCTTCATATCATAATATAGCCGTGCCGAATGTGATGATGGCGAGTCCAGTGATCAAACAGTAAAACGTCCATTTGTTGTTAAATCACCTCTAGGATTCACTGCCAAACCGTCATACCATGATATAGCCGTGCCGAATGTGATGATGGCGAGTCCAGTGATCTAACAGTAAAACGTCCATTTGTTGTTAAATCACCTCTAGGATTCACTGCCAAACCGTCATACCATGATATAGCCGTGCCGAATGTGATGATGGCGAGTCCAGTGATCTAACAGTAAAACGTCCATTTGTTGTTAAATCACCTCTAGGATTCACTGCCAAACCGTCATACCATGATATAGCCGTGCCGAATGTGATGATGGCGAGTCCAGTGATCTAACAGTAAAACGTCCATTTGTTGTTAAATCACCTCTAGGATTCACTGCCAAACCGTCATACCATGATATAGCCGTGCCGAATGTGATGATGGCGAGTCCAGTGATCTAACAGTAAAACGTCCATTTGTTGTTAAATCACCTCTAGGATTCACTGCCAAACCGTCATACCATGATATAGCCGTGCCGAATGTGATGATGGCGAGTCCAGTGATCTAACAGTAAAACGTCCATTTGTTGTTAAATCACCTCTAGGATTCACTGCCAAACCGTCATACCATAATATAGCCGTGCCGAATGTGATGATGGCGAGTCCAGTGATCTAACAGTAAAACGTCCATTTGTCGTAAATCACCTCTAGGATTCACTGCCAAACCGTCATACCATGATATAGCCGTATTGAATGTGATGATGGCGAGTCCAGGTACTTGATAGACATCACTGGATGCATTTCAACCTGAAATCACCAATTCAAGAGAGCAGCCAAAGAATTTTTGGGAAAGGGAGGGTGGGTTAAATTAATTTAAAAAACCCATGGCATAAACTAGAAAACACTATGTAATAAGGACCACATATAAAACTTGCCTGTTCAAAATGACTGCATGTAACAAAAGAAAGTAGGGTTTCAAGAACGATAACTCTCAATTACATGACCCAAGTGATAACCTAACAGTCAAAGGGAAATAACCCCCAATGATCCTTCTATGAATAGGCGCATTTATTGATGAAAAATAAATGCCAATATTTTTACCTAATTGTGTTTTCACAGATATTGAGGATCAATACCAAGTACAACCTGCTTTACCTGAAGGGCTACCTTCCCGGTGCCATTCATAGCTACACCAGAATCTACGACACTACCCTGGGGACTAGGAGACGTGAGGCTGAGACACGGGAAGCTGGGAAGGGCCCGCCCATGCCTACATTCTACAGAGAGGATACATCAGAAGAGGTGGAAGAAGAGTATTTTGATGATGATGTTTTTCAATTTACAGCTCCATCAATAAAGTTTGAGGACAAAAGCTAGATTACATAGTTCAGAGATCCACCATCATGTGTAGCTAGGATTTGTTAGGTTGTTAAGGATTATGTACTTTTGGATGTGACCCCCATGTGGTAAGTTTGTGTTAAGAAGCATGACACCAGCTTGCTTTTATCACTTCAAACAATTTTTGCTGCTTCAAATGAAATATTGGAAAGTGTCTGACTAAAACATGACTCTCTTTACCTCTATCTCAGAACAATATTCTTCTAGATTTTGGTTTTGAAATTATCAAGAAATATGCTAAATATACCCCTAATACACATGTATATATATTGGTAATTATGGCTATGGTGGAGAGGCATTGTTTTTGCTGTAGTACCAGTTTTCAATTGTCTGTGTACCTGTGATACTGGGAGAACTCTTTATATGGGATAGGGTTGGATGCTGAATCTGCTATAATCTTGTTTATCATACACGAAATGTGCTACACAGTGTCAGTAGTCGTTAGTTAGGTCACACATAGTTATAGAAACATGTCATACTTAATTGAGACCAGTGGGTTTGGAGTAGGTGGTGTAGGTTTGGAACAAGTGTAACGTTAGCATGTACAGGACAAAATTGTCTGATTCCTTTATCTAACTTCTGCTCGACAAACCAAAAACGTTCAGAATATAATTCAAGAGAGGGTATATGTATGTAGAAATGCTGAAGTTTGTGTGATCAGTTATAAAAGCTATTTCTGTATGGAGATTTGTGAGAATGGGCATTCGTGTTTGAGTTTTGTATGAATTTTTGAATAAAATATCAATGCAATGTTGTTGATTTCTGTTTGTCAGTTATAGAAAGATTTAAATTTGCATGATCGATTTCTTTGTTGTATTTTCAAGACGATCATATCACAAAGTTGATATAAAATTATAAAATTTCTGTAGATATATACAGTATAACCTGTCTAAACTGGAGGTCACCGGGACCAAACTATTTGTCCGGTTTACACAGGTGTCTAGTTTACACAGGTGTCCGGTTTATACAGGGACGGCATGTCGGTTTTTGAAAATACAAAAATGTAGTGTTTTGCATACGATCTCTATACAAGTGTGTCAACATAAACAACAGAGAAATGATTCAATTGCAATGTTTAATTATTTACAAAATATACAGTTTATAATACAATTGAACGGTGACCCAACATTGGATAGCCCTAATTTGTTTAGAATGTGTTGTCTTAAGATTGTAGCCGGCCGAGAGAAATATCGGGACCGGAATGAACAGGTTGTTTTTACATGGATTACAACTTTCTCTTAATAACCAAAAGTCTTAGGGTGATGATATTTGGCCAGAAGCAAACTGGGATAAAGGGCTACCAACTTTGTTAAAATAAATGACCTTCACCCATATTAAAGGTCACAGGGGTCAAATATGTAAAAAAAACAAAAAACATTTTAAACTACTTCTTCTGAATAACCGAAATGCCCAGGGTGACGATATTTGGCAAGTAGCATGCTGGGATGAAGGGCTACCAAGTTTGTTCAAATAATTGACCTTCACTCATATTCAAGGTCACACAGGTCAATTGTCTTAAAAAACCTTTAAACAACTTCTTCTGAATAAACAAATGGACCAGTTATACATTATTTGTCAGTAGCATGCTGGGATGAAGGGCTACCAAGTTTTGTTAAAATAAATGACCTTCACTCATATTCAAGGTCACACGGGTCAATTGTCTTAAAAACACTTTAAACAACTTCTGAAGAATAACCAAAAGGACAAGTATGTACATATTTTGTCGGTAGCATGCTGGGATAAAGAGCTACCAAGTTTTGTTAAATATAAATGACCTTCACCCTTATTCAAGGCCACAGGGGTTAAATATGTTTCAATTTTTAGCTCACCTAGCCCGAAGGGTCAAGTGAGCTTATGCCGTGGTGCAGCATCCGTCGTATGGTGTCAATTTTTACTTTAAACTACTTCTTCTCAATAACCAAAAAGCCCAGGGTACTGATATTGTGCCTGTAGCATGCTGGAATGAAGGGCTACCAAGTTTGTTCAAATGAATGACCTTGACAAACTTTTAAGGTCACAGGGGTCAAATGTCTTAAAATCTTCAAACAACTTCTTCTCAATAACTAAAAGGCCCAGGGTACTGATATTGGGTCTGTTGCATGTTGGGATGAAGGTCCACCAAGTTTGTTCAAATGAATGACCTTGACCCACTTTCAAGGTCACTGGGGTCAAATGTCTTAAAATCTTCAAACAACTTCTTCTCAATAACCAAAAGGCCCAAGGTACTAAAATTAGGCCTGTAAGATGTTGGGATGAAGGTCCACCAAGTTTGTTCAAATGAATGACCTTGACCCACTTTCAAGGTCACTGGGGTCAAATGTCTTAAAACCTTCAAACAACTTCTTCTCAATAACCAAAAGGCCCAAGGTACTAAAGATTGGGCCTGTAGCATGTTGGGATGAAGGTCCACCAAGTTTGTTCAAATGAATGACCTTGACCCACTTTCAACCTAATGTCCTTGTTCAACATTTAAGGTCACAGGCATCATATGTTTAAATCTTTTAATAGGTTCTTATTAATCAAACACTGATATTCTGCCTGTAGCTGTATTTTCGTCCACTTTTAAGATTACAAGTGTGGGATTAATACCAGGTGAGTGATGCAGGCCCATTGGGCCTCTTGTTTAACAACTTCTTCTGAATAACCACAATGCCCAGGGTGATGATATTTGGGCCAGTAGCATGATGGGATGAAGGGCTACCAGGTTTGTGCAAATGAATGACCTTCACCCATATTCAAGGTCACAGGGTTCAAATGTCTTAAAAACATTTAAACAACTTCTGTTGAATAACCAAAATACCTAGGGTGATGATATTTGGTCATTAGCAGACAAGGATGAAGGGCTACGATGTTTGTTAAAATGAATGACCTTGACTTATATTTAAGGTCACAGGGGTAAAATATGTTTAAAACTTTCAAACAACTTCTTCTGAATGACCAAAAGGTGCAGGGTGATGATATTTGGCCCAAATATGATGAGATGAAGGGCTACTAAGTATTTTCAAATGAATTACCTTGACATTAATTCAAGGTCACAGGGTTAGAATATGTTCATAATCTTAAAATGACTTCTTCTGAATAACCAAAATGCCCAGGATGTTGATATTTGGCCAGTAGCATGCTAGGATGAAGGGCTACCAAGTTTGTTCAAATAAATGATCTTGAATTATATTCAAGGTCACAGGGGTCAAATATCTTAAAATATTTAAACAACTTCTGAAATATCATGAGGCCTAGAATGTTGATATTGGCCAGTAGCATGATTGGATAGGGCTGTCAAGCTTTTTCATTTGAATGTGTTTGACCACTTTTAAGGTCACATTTGGTCAAATATGTATAAACATTTAAATGACCTAATTTCAATAAACAAAAGGATAGGTTGGTGATATTTTGCAAGTTGCATCCTGAGATGAGGCTATAAAATTTGTTCGAATGTAATGACTTTGTTCGACTTTCAAGGTCACAGGGGTGAAAAGTTTTAAACCTTTTAACAGGTTCTTTTGAATGACTTATAGTCATAAATACTGATATTTTGCCTGTAGCTTTATTTTATATCAATTTTAAGGTTACAAGTGTGAGATTAATACCAGGTGAGCGATGCAGGCTTCTTGTTGTTAAGTGAACTGGAGATTTACAGTGAAATGCTTAAATGTGTCATTAAATGAAGTTGACAGACATACAGACCATATTTATATTATCACTTATATCACAAAAGGAGCAACAGTTTGATGTTTTCAACACAACAAGAGGAGCACCCATAAGGGCCTCGGTGAAAATCGCACTGCACCTACGACCGAGGACAGAGGAGTACCTTACATAGCCACTGAAGGGTTGTTTATGTTGTCAAGTGGAGTTTACACAGTAACTTACCAAGGAAACTAAAATAGCATTGCATTGCTAGAGTAAGCTGTTTGCAACTTTCTAATTTACTCAGCACTGAATAAAACTGCACAGGACATCACAGTAGGGAAACTAGCCAATCCATATATCATGTTGTAGTGATATTGATGTAAAATACTTGTAGCCCTTCAGTGTCCAAACTTACCAGTCAAGAAGAAATCTTGCCACTTTCTTGCAGTTTGTCAGATATTTTTCACATTTCATCCTCAACAAGTCTCTTGATGACTTCAGTGGCTATGCTTGTCCTTCCTGAACACTTGATGGGTTATTAGTTTACTGACCATTTACATCTAGTGATCAACTCGCTTGTAACCAGGTCCTCATGTTCATCTAGTTCAGATTGTTGGTCAGGTCTAGATCTGTTCACCGGGGTTCCAATATCTATCTAGACTTGTTCACAATCTCCTTATATTCCAATATCTATCTAGACTTGTTCACATTCACCTTATATTCCAATATCTATCTAGACTTGTTCACAATTCCAATATCTATCTAGACTTGTTCACAGTCTCCTTATATTCCAATATCTATCTAGACTTGTTCACAATCTCCTTATATTCCAATATCTATCTAGACTTGTTCACATTCACCAGTTTTAAGGACTTTGGTATGTCCCGGCCTGGAGACAAAACCCATTGCCTTCCTCGCCTGGGCGAACGCTCAACATTAAAGCCAAAAGTGAAGTGTTGCCAAGCAAGGTGCTAGAAAATAAAAGGTAGTTAGAATTTAAAAGAAAAATTTGGTCGGTTTTGTGTCCCCAAGTAGAGGGCACAAAGCAATTCCCCAATGTTGAAGGGGGTTCCCACATTAGTCGCCTTTTAGGATACATGCAGTGGGTAACAGCAGGTGTATTCTTTTCTCTATCCCGACCTGCAGGGTCAACAGTCATGACCTGTTAATCAGGTCCCATTGTAAGTCTAACGAAGTTCTAGACATATTTGCCGGCTTAGAAAAGTTCATCAATACTAACGTTGTTTAACACGCATCTTCATGTCATTTGACACTTTGACCAGATTGTCAGTCTAGACACATTCATCAAGTAATCTAGCTGATTCTAGACTCTGGACACATGAACAATTTAATGGTCTTCATACAACAGCATCAACCTAGCAACAGGGTCAAAACTACGGTCCCCTCACTGCTTCCGTACAAAACATCAGCTAGGCTGTGTACAATACTGTAGTCAGTCTTGACATATCAACAAAGTCAAAATATCGGTTCAAATATATTCTTCAAATGGTTAACGTTAATCATGAGACTAAACGTATTCACAAGACCCCATTAACACCAGTTTATGATATACGTTCATTAAATAACATCAGTCTATACATTTTCTAAGGTCTTAACATTAGCCCAGGTACTTTCACAAATTAGATTGAAAACGTCATTCTATTGTGATCAAGAAAACACATCCATCAGATATACCTATCAGAGTTCTCTTTAAGTTTGCTTTGGTGGGGAAGATATCTCTCTCCATTATCAAAAACAAAAGGCCAAATTGGCCTGTATCGATTACCTATCATTAACCTTTAGAGAAGGACTTAAAATCAAATGTATAAAACTTAACACACCATATTAAATATGTTTGGATTTCATCAAATAATTCATGAAGCTACAAGAATTACAAATAACACATGTACCCTTTTAGATCACATTCTTTGTAATGACAAAGACAGAGTCTGCCAGTCTGGAACTATCTCAATTGGTTTGCCAAATGATGCTCGCCTGAACTACATGCACATGAAAAGCACGACACAAACATCCACATTTAAACCAAAAACCTACATTTTTACCATTGTTTCGAGAACTTGTTAACACTTGGAGCACTCCGCTCGGCCATCATAAAATATAAATGCTCTATGTTATAAAATATAACCTGGAATAATACCGCAAACTCAGAAAGCTATTCTATGCCTTATCCGATCTGTTTGACAATGGAAACAATGTTCGATAAATTCTAGCTTTCTATGCTTGGCAGTGCTTGAACAAGTTTAGTATTACATCTTCAGAGAAAAAAATCGCCTCGCTCTGCTCGGCAGGGAAATTATAATTGTCACAATCTCAGAAATAATGAAGCTCTATATATTCTTTGGTGCCAGATAGTAATATACATGTACAACCGACATAACAATTATAATTCATTAGTTTTTTCGAGTCTTTTTCTGAGTTTAAAATTTTGGGCAACACCCAAAATTAATTCCTGGGTCACCCCTGCCATTTGACCTCTAGCTATAGCCGTGTCCTTGAATGTTTTTGTGTGAATCAATGTTATTCCTGTTAACAAACCTAATTACAGCTCTTCATCCTGGCATGTTACTTGCCTCTTATCTATTCAGTGGCCTATTTAAAATTGGGTCGAGGTCATTTATATTCGACACAAACTTCAATCCCAGTATGCTACTGGCCAAACATAACCATCCTTGTCCTCTTTGTTATTCATGTGAAGTCTTATGTAAATGTATTGACACATTCAGGGGCGGGTCCAGGTGAGGGCGTAATGGGCGTACGCCCCCCCCCCNCCCTTTCAAAAACAAAAAAACACAAAAAAAAAATCGAAATATAAAATATACATGCTCCAAGTCAGGAACCGTTACATTAGTGCATTTCACAATTTTTTCTATTTATTTTTTAGCAAAAAAAATGTTTGGTCCAAGGTCTACTCCAACAAATATTGTTAGAAGTTTTACACGGCGAAAAACTTTTGAAAGGCGCCGCGTAACCTCGAGGTCGCAGTCGGCAAAATCATATCCGATTGAAAAAAGGCCGACCAGCGGCCTCTCATGTTATGGGAGTAGTCCAAGGTCCAAAGATTTGATTCCACGCCCCTTCTTTCAAATATCCTAGAAACGCCCCTGACATTAGAATAATGGTAATCAGTATTTACAATGGACAATGTACTGCTACAATTTGGGGGGTTTTCAGTCTGAACTTACACATAGACTTGTGTAAACGTCTCTGTACGTCCTGTTCTAGATTTGTACAAGCCCTAATGAACTTTAACCCATTGACCTCTGTTCATTGCGAGCGTCGAGTACTACTGTGTGTTTGTAGTGTTAGACGCGTCTTGCTATGAGGAAGGAACGAGGAACGAGAGGGTGTGCAGACTGATGAGACTTGTCTGATGAGGACAGGTAAGTGTACCTAGACCTAACCTATGTCAACAACAGACAAAGTAACATGTTGTCAACACAGTTATTTTGACAATGACTTAGCGACTGTTACAACGTCAGTGTCAACGTTCCTCGTACTGTCGTATAGGCCTAACGTTATGTGCACCCGACAAATGACAGTCCCGCGGTCAGGTGGTGTCGGATATTGATTTGTAGCTGTTACAATGGTAGAATTCTTAATGAGAAGACGACGTATTGCCACCATGGAGATAATCAGCTCAATCGATCTTAAAAACAAAACACGCAATGTAGTAATATCGAAAAATGCAAGCTTGCTTTCTATAAGTATTACATTGGCGCAGAGACGTAATATACTGGTGTTAGCACAGGTGCTTGAATAATTCCTGTAGGAACTCTTATCTAAATCAGAGATTTATAACGTAATAAATCTCTGATTTAGATATAGAGTTCCTACAGGAATTAGTGCTTGAACTGATTTTCCCAGATATAACTGGGACTTAAGCAACACTAGAACTATTACTTAAGAAAGTACATGTATATATTCCAAGTTACGAGATGACATGTTTGTTTAACCAAGCACAGGTACTAGCCTGTCAATACACCTAAAATATCATAGGTGTATTGACAGATGAAGCTGTGAACCAGGTGTAAAACAACTATAGTCAGTGCTGTTAGTAGTGATGAGCAATCGGTTTAATAATAATAATAATAATATTTATTCAGGTAAAATTGGCATGTTATTACAAGATATCACAATTTAGAATAAAATATATAATTCAAATCACATTGCAGCTTGTAAATAAAAAAGAGTATTTTGTATTAAGACTGTGAATAATAATAGATCTGACCTAATAAAAGGTTTTTTAATTCAATCATTGACATATAAATTCACAGAGTATAAAAATCTAAAAAAAGTCTGATACACTGTAAAAAAAAGAGGCAGATATTACTATAAAATGAGACAAAATGAGACAGACTATTTTAGTGAATGAAGGTATTTATAAATAAAAAATAGATCGCATAATAGGAGTGGTGGTGATTACCATTTACCTTGGATTACCCATAAAGCCACGTGGCTTATTTCCAATGGGGTCCTTTAAAAATGGAAGAAAAATAATAAAAAATGAAGAAAATCAATCCGGTGACAGTTCAGATAGCACAGAATAGGATATGTGTGTATCTTATTCGCTAATTAATCAGTAAAATTGTATTTCCTATATAGAAAACAATACATAATAATTATTGTGTAGTGGCAGACAGCTTCTTATACTGTAGTAGCAAACTATAGAATATTTTACATAGTTATTTTCAAAGATATCAAAATAAAACAAATATACTGACAGATATTTGCGTTACAGTTTCTAGGCATGAAAACTTGAAATTTGAAATCCTAAATTTGAAATCAAAAGTTTAAAATCATAATGGATAATCGGTTGTAATCAGAAGAAGTAAACTGATCGATGATCGATTGCATAATTGGTTTATAATTTAATGGGACGTAAAACCTAAATAAAGGGAGAACACTACTGTTAGATCAAGAAACAGAGTTGTTCACTATACATTTTATGATAAATGGATATCAAACGACTTGTATTGCTTTTTATCACACATAATAGTATAAATCATAACAATATATGACTTTCAAAGCTTCCTTAACATGGAAGATATTTAATACTTCGATTTTAATGATGGACCAATTATATCAATTATGGAATTTATAATCGATAACCTATCATCAGCCCATCACTTGCTGTAAGGTCCTGTAATAGTATATCGGGATCTATTTTCAAAACTGTCTGATGTTTCCAGAATTAATATTACAATATGCCTAAAATGAGGACACTTAATATTGTTATATATAGCATGTCTCTGAAATACACAAAATTTTAATCAATAATTAATTATTTCCCTAAAAACAATGATTTCTTGACAACAGGAGATAACCCATCATTTCAAGCATCTGTGAATGGCAGTAGTTTGACTGTGCTGTAATTTTGAGATTTCCGCTCAGATTCTTCACTAAGAATAAGATGATCTAGTCTCTCTCAAGTGTTTTGTAACATGTAATTAAAAAGTTAGTAAACTATTTGTGACTGACTCGAGAAGTGTATGTCACGGACATACCAGTAGTCATTATTATTTTAATTGTAGGTCCCCTATCAATACTACCAGAAAAGCATAGATTAGTGCTCCTTCCATCAGCCAGTCCATTATTCATTCAATGTGCTACAATGTCGGGGAACATATTGAACTGCATGTATATATATATGTACTCTTAGCTAAAATTGCCAGATTTTGCAGTAGAGTGCTTCTTAGGACAGATACTTGTAACATGTTAAAATTAGGTATGTACAGAGTTATGGCCCTTCCTTCACAGTTAATCACCTTTTCTGGGGTACATCTCAAATATTCTGTAATTTTACATGTGAATACGTCTTGGGATAGCAAAGCGTTGTGTGTCCTGTTATATGCAGAGTTAAGGCCCTTTGTTCACTTTTGTATAGCTCTTGGAATGGCAGTGTCTCATTTACTGATACCAGGTCTTCTGGCCAACTTTTTATAGAGTGATGGCCCTTAATTCATTTTTGATACTGATATTTTCTAAATATAAAATATGACTGCATTATTTTTCTTTTACAAGTTTTAATAGAAATTCTATTGAATTTTCAGATCACAGACTAGATACAAAATGCCTCGTCAACTAAGCACCTCCTTGTCTGATCTGATGCTGGCTATCTCAGCCTTCTATGTGGCACACTACTGGTATCAACACAACTACAACTATGCAGCTATTGGGATGATCATACAAGGCTGTGCAGCCTCCATGGGGATATTTCGCTTTGCCATGGAAGAACCACAGGGAACAATTATCTATAAGGCCCACAAGTTTTTGTCCTGGTCAGCTGGGGCTGTGGGTGTCCCGATGATTGCACTCATGTTTTGTTATAAGTATGGGTCAGCTGCCCTAGCCAATAAGATCTCAATATTTGTTGTGTGTATCCTTCTAGTGGTACGCTTCCTCCCACCAAAGAATCGAGAACTTTGCTCACAAGCTGTATCTGGCTTTTCCATCCTCACTATGGCCACCCTGTGTGGATTCAACAAGAATTGGTTTGGATTTGGAGCATGTTTTGTGTATGCAGCAGCGGGCATTCTATTTGGTTCTGATGGGAAACTGCTGGAAATTCCAAAAGTAGACTTCCTTCACTATTTTCTCATTGTTGGCAATACACTTTTTAAATTGGCTCTTTAGTGTAGAGAGGTGTTATATTAGGATCCAACCTTTTTGATTAGAGATGTCACTTTTGCTGAGTGCAGAACAATATTCCATTTCATTTCACACCAAAGAAACAACCCATTGATATATCTGTTACAGATGAAGTGCTATCACCTGTCTAAACCAAACCCTGTTTAAGGGTCCCTGTACCGCTGTCAAAAGCTGTATTTATGTAGTGGAAACTGCTTTTTCGTCTATAGCTTTGATAAACTATTTCTGACAAGAAAACCATACATTTCATTTGTTGGACTTCTGTGAAACATTTATAAAAATGATATTTAAAACAATATACCTTGTATAATCAGCAACAAGCGTGTTCTGAGTGTAAAAAATCTAGCTGGACGTAAGGGACTTCAAGCTCTAGACCTCATTAATGTTATATTGTCCCTCTAACCACTGAGCTACCTGGTCAACAGAAGTAACCTGGCCGAATTGTGTGAAAAGGAAATCAAAGGGAGGTAACTACATATACGAAAAACTACACTGGAATCTCTAGTGTTTTGTCTGCAGTGGGACCGGGGTCCTTAAACCTTAATGAACATGAACTTCATTTACTTTTCACTTGTCTACATCCTTATTTCTACAGTTAAACTCTTTATCATTTATACATACAGTTCTCTGAATAGTGCTAACAAAATTACATGATGATTATATTTCAATTCAATTATGTGATTTTCATCACTATGGATCATTACTGATGCGTACAGTTTGCAGTAGAAGGGAGATAACCTCAACCATGTGCTTTGGAGTGTCCGGGCCAACTTGAATGTCTTCTAGTCTTATTATTCTAACAGTGAGTTCTAATTTTGTTCTGGTGATGTTACTGTTAAAAGACAAAAATTTACTGTGGTATCTTGACAGTTAATCAAGCCATGGATTGTACATTTCGAAACAAGATATATATATTTGACATTTTTGTTGTTGTAAGTGTTACAATCTGCATGAGAGCCTAGAAATGTTATATGTTTCAGGTATTTTGAATTTACTAGGTCAAAGTTTTCATCATCATAACATGTCTCCGAAAGTTGTCATAGACCCTCTGATAACTGAAGTTTGAGGATGACCTGTATCATGTACAAGCTTAATACTTAAATTTGTAACCAGTTTATAGTTTGTCGCTGGTGATAAAGTGTAGTGTACTGTTTTATTAAATAACAGATGGCCTCCTTACCTAAACACCATCCTAAATATATATATTACAGCAGGCGTCTTTATGTATATAATCGTAATACCAGGTAGTGATGCAGACTTGGAGATGTGTATGAACAGGAGGGATGGTGTGAGTGTAAGATGTACCATACTACTGTGGTGAATATCAACAATGAAAGTAAATTTAGTGTATAATAGTGAGTTTTGGTGTACAATAGTGAGTTTTGGTGTACAATAGTGAGTTTTGGTGTACAATAGTGAGCTTTAGTGTATAATGGTGAGCTATAAAAGTGTGTATACCAATGTCTTGCACCACACAATACATCAAGACTCTTGTAAAAGTCTTGCACCACACAATATATCACAGGGACTTGTACAATTTTGTTAATGTCTTACACCACACAATACATCACAGAGACTTGTAAAAGTTTGTTAACCCTTATCATACACCACATACTATATCATTGGGACTTGTGAAAATATCATAACAAATATGTAAGAAAGACTATGATACAGATTAAGCTGAGGAGGCACTATAGCTTAGTGAGACGTAGTGGAGGAGGCCAGATAATTAGGTAACCTAATGGACATCTGGCTCTAATAAGTGATGTGTAAAGGTGATGGGGTTGGATGGGTGGGAGGATGTACACTCAAGTCTCACCTATTAGATGTGTTCACAAATACTTATCATACAAATGTAGGTTAGAGCTCTGTAGTGATGTAGAATTGAATGAAAATGTTAAAACTTTGCAACTTTTTCATGCAATTTTCTGTACATTATGATGGATGTATGTAAAGTACATAAATATATAGGTACTTTATATAATTGACCTGCTTCAAGTGGCTATGATATAAATGTTATTCTACTCGTCAGAACTCGGTTCAATGGTGCCTTCCTTCATAAAATAATTCTAAATGTGCTAAATGCAAGAATGGGTTGTGAATACTCTCATGGCCAGACTAGAAAGGAATTTATTTGGATAGAATTTGTACGTCATCTACTTCTCACAATAGAGAAAAAACAATAGTATCATAAGTTGGTTATCAATGTGATTGACCTGGAAGTACTGTGCAATATAAGTCTGTGAGAGTGAATATGATAGGTACTGCATTAGGAAGATTTTAGTGTAACAATAGTTTTATAACAGAACATGATTCACTGCCTGGTATCTTTGATTTGATCATTTAATTGTAAGGATATAAATGGGGGGGGGGGGGGGGGGGGGGGGGGGGGTCGTGATTGCTACTTTTAAGATTGGTTTCCACATTGATTGTTTTATTTTCGTAAATGGTATTTATTGTTGAGGTTTTATTGATATTGTCGGGGGGAAAAAATCCATAACTACCAAGAGTGACAGGAAAAAATATAAAGTGCCAGATTAATACAAAGTATTATATAGTTATAGACTTAGTTTAGACCACATCATGAGAAGCTGCACTTAGTTAAACCACCATCGGATTTCATGACATAAATGTAATTGGTATTGATACAACGAGGGGTAAATGCTTAGAACCCTAAAAGTAGAGAGTTTCTATACCACATAAAGAGAAAGCATGCTGTTGGTTGATTCAGTGGTCTACTCTTTATTGATATGATACCTTTTTTAAATGCATTAAAATAGACCATGTCAATAAAGCTTTAATTTCTGAACACCAGCAGGAGGAACCCATTTATTTTTTTACTGTAAGTTTTTTACAATGTGTACATGTTTGTATATCAAAATATGATGGCATTACATTGTAGTTCAATTATGAATTGTGAAGTTTGTTGATTGAAGTTGTTGTATCAGAGAAAATAAATACATTTAAAGAAAAACTTTTTGCATTTTATTATGTCTTTTGTGATTTTCGGGCTAATTAGTTTTAAAAGATTCAAAAGACTGCATGTATGCATGTATAATATCTAATATATTTTAAAACTTGATACCACAAAGCAGAGACGTATATAGTACATATACTTGCTTTATATGTCTCTGCACAAAGCGATCGCCCTTGGAAATAGATATTTGACACGTATCATCAAATTTCGTTGGAAAGTTGCTGATAGTCATGTTAGCTTAGGTGCAAACATGTTTCATATCCATTTATTAGTTGTGCTAAAATATTGAAATTCAAAACCTAAGTGAGATTGAATTTAATGTAATCAAAATTACCATCTTCAGACAGAAGTATTTGTAAACTCTCGGATAAATGAAAAAAATGCATTACAAAAATTTGCTTTAACGACTTATTAAGCTAACCAGTCTTGGGGGTGGGGGCGGGAGCGTGCCTTCATAGTTGAAACTTATATCATGGCCCTTTACATCTTATTCTCAATTTGTTCAGCACTTTCATTCCTAAACTTTGTTTTCACCCTAACAAAAATAGCCTAATAACACTCCAGGAGTGCCTGACTTCATCGACGTGTTGTCCCGTGTCGGTATTGTGAAGTTACCTCCCTTCAAAGGAGCTTACGCGATGAAAATAATTGGTGGGTTATTTTTAGCCGCATCATTCTGATTGGATGGTTGTGACGTCAAGGCGAAGTGGAGTGAGCCCGAAAACGTCAACAAATGCAGAACGTAAACAAACGAGATGGCTGACACTCCTGGCCCATCGAACCTTGTCTTGCAAGAAAATGTTGAAAATAAGGAAAATATGGACCTGGAATTCGAGCCCGAGAAAAAGAAAGCTAAATTAGATATTCCAACAACAGAAAAAGACCACAAATTAGAAGATCGCCTGAGTGGAATTCTGTGCTGCGCAGTTTGTCTGGACCTGCCACGAATATGTTTCCAGGTAGTGATTCTAAACTGACAGCAATCTGTCATTTTTTTTTCTCTTTTAACGATTGCTTTATTTGCAAGTGAACGATAAAATGGGAAAATAATTATTGTTGCTTCGATATAGCAATTCCAGATAGGAAATATATTCACTCCGTTAAGTCTTTGTATGCTATTGGAAGTATCCCCGCAGTGCAAAACCTCTAAAAGCATCTTGCCGTATTTGGCTATTGCATCATCAATATAGGTTGATATTTATAATTTATGTGGCTTTGGTCTGATGTGCATAAAATATATTTATCTGTTTATTGTATGTATCTTAATACCGTTATCGTGATATTGAAGCAGGACTAAACTAGTCGATGACCTTTGGTAAAGCATTCATGACCTACATAAACTGACAGATCATAACATATGCTGACAGATCAGTATGTCAGCGTCACGTGAACACGATCAGCTGACGTATTTGATAACAAAATGGTCGTAGACCCGCTAACATACTTGGCAGTCTGCCATTTACACGTAAACATGATAGGAAACAGCTTGACAGCCGTAATGCGGAGACTAGTGTTATTGCATCTTGGCTATTTTTGGCAATAAACGTAATACACTGATCTCTCATCCAATATGGACTATGTACTGTAACGTTAACCTAGCAGAGAATATTATATTATTCCAGTCCCTGGTAATAGCATTGCATAGAAAATATAAACATATTAACATTTATATATATTAAGCAATTAATGCATTAAATGTATAATAAAACAATGACAAAGAGAATTAGCTGAAATGGCTGTAAAGGTGACTTCGGCCTAATTTGGTACAGTGCAGGTTCCCTGGGCCAATTAAGGGACTCAATATTGCACAAATGAAGGATGCGTCTCTGGTGGTGAAGTGGGGTAGGGCCAAATAGAAGAAATATAAGTACCATAAAATAATAATAAAACAAAAATGCTTGTTCTCAGTAATTATACTCTGGAATAAACTGACATAGATATACTTTCAACTAGTCGAATGTCAAACGTAATTGGTGTTTTCACTTAAGATAATAAAAGTGCACTACATTTAATATTAAATTTTCTCATTCCATTCATTTGAGGTCTTGTGGATATAGTGCCTTTCAACTTCTATGTGAAAGTTAACAAGGTAAATTCTAATTCTGTATGCATACCATGTTCACATGTGTACCTGGTCATACCTACCTCTATATATATATGGTGCCTGACTATTTGACTTTTTCGTAATTTTAGGTCTGACTTCAACAACCAGAATCAGAATACAATGTACTCATAACATAGAAAAGGAAAACATTTGTTTTTGAAAGCTGGATAAAATTTTGACTAAAGTACATCAAACATTTCCTTTTTTCGACAGTAACATAAGAGTTGCATTACTTGTGTTGTAGTGTACCAATGGACACCTAATGTGTGCCGGCTGTTATAACCATCTCCTTGCCGACGGACGCCTGAAAGACGAGAGCTCAACTTGTCCCAACTGTCGCTGTGAGATCAGCAAGTCGTCCTGTACCCGGAACCTGGCCGTGGAGAAGGCTGTGTCAGAGCTGCCCAGTTCCTGTCAGTTCTGTGCCTGTCTGCTGCCACGGAATCTACTCAGCCACCATGAGCGAGAGCAGTGTCAGGAGAGGTAGGCATTGGGTGGTCTGGGTAAGCCCTCTGTAATTAAGGCTTAGTTAGATCTCTACCACACACACCTACACACACCGTTATTCTCTAACACACCTATTGACCGACACAAAGGAGAAAGCATCTGAATGGAGGGGATGGGGCAACCCAGCTGTCCAGGTGCTTTCTTCTTTGTTGTTGATTAACATGTTTAATAATTAGAAACACACTTTTGTCTTTTGTTCCTGATCAGGACCCATGGAGTTGCGTCATCAGGGTCACTTTTGCAACCAGCGGGTCAGTGCCTATTTCAGAAGTTGACCACAGTGACTTGAATCAACAAACATGTTTCAGAAGGCGGCAAGTATGTTCATATCTTTCAAGGTGCAGTAAAAGTAGCATGCAATATTTTGTGTCAGTTTTCTGTTCATGTTCGATTCTCCTTCTATATTCCCTATATTGATGAGTTCAAAGTTAATGAGAGGGCTTATGGATGATTTATCAAATTCAACCATTTGGTTTGGCCATTTATATCTAAATTTAAAACGGACTGGGAAGTCTGATTACTGTATATAAATGATATATAAGAATGGTGAGTTTAAGCTCACAAAACAAGTAATGAATATTGTACAGGCTTATTCAGACCAGTCAAAAGTTTTGGCCTTATCAAATATTGACATTTTGACTGCACAACATCCTTTGGTTTAACTTAGAGATACGTAATTGGCTGGTCCAGGTGTTTTCATTTCACGTTTTTTCTGCGAGTTTCATGAAATTGGAGATTTAATATAAAATATACAAATAAAGATATGTTTCATTGTCTGTGTTGTTGTGTTTTTTCCAATGTTGAATTTCAAAGGTTTTCAGTCGAAATTAAGTGGATTTTATATGATAGATTATATGGTGTGCTCTTAATACTGAGAAAATGAGCAAATGGATATAATAAAACTGAAACACTGTGAAACACATAACACTAACTCATAACCTTACGGTGTGTTGCTACCAGAACTGGAGTTATGGTTTACACATCATGTTGAGGTGTGTTCTGGTCAACGTAACTGACCTAGGTATCCGTTACCGTTAAGACTCCTAGTGGAGATTGTGTTGGTGTGTACTAGTGGGGATCTGAGGCACCACATGTGGTGCTTAATGCTGGATACACGTGTGTATAGTGATAGGCAGTGCTTGTGGTGCATATACAATTAGCACTGTCAACTTTACTGCTGGAGCACTGGATACTGGTGTCAGTATAATTATAATGCCTGTGGTTCCCCTGAACAGGATATACATATACTGGATAACATATGTGGTTGTTTGTAAAAAACGCCACATGAATTGCATCAGTGTCTTAACACAAAACATGCATCTAAGAAGAGGATTATTGAACCTGTGTGTGCCAATCAACGTGCCAAGGTTGGATAGTATCATTCTGTATTCAATTGTTTTTAGCTTCATGGATTATACAAAGGTAAGTACACTAATAAAAACAACAAATTTTCTTGCAGGTCCGGCTCTTTTAACAATCACAACAAGATGTTACATTTTCCATTTGCATATTTTCTAGGCTGTCAACATGTAAATACTCACGCATCGGTTGTCCCTGGAAAGGCCCCAACCACGAGCTGAAAGAACACGAGAAGGGTTGTCACCATCCCAACAAGTCGGGGGACGACATTATGGAGGCTGTCGCCTGTATTGACCAGCAGGCAAAGGATGCGACGCAGCTCTACAGCAGGATCTTCGCTCTCCTCTCTTGTGAAAAAATTACCTTCAATGGTAGGTTCACACTAGGTCAAGATTTTTATGATTCCAGGGAAAAAAATTGGGGGCAAATAGTTGTCCAGGCCTTTTCTTCTGATCCGCTGAGAAGAAGAAATTTTACGGACATATGCGGGATGTGAGGCAATATGTTGTATACCTCTCTAGGGTCCGTACACCAAAGGTCAAGGGTCACATCGAGTTCATGGGAAGGTGATGTGTTACAAACCACATTTGAGTCCCAAGTTCAAGGTACACTAAGTTCATGTCCTTGAAATAACTTCTTATCAGACAAAAATAGCTCAATTAAAATTTTCGGGATATGTATGAAGTAAGGTGATGCGTTGCATACCTTTATTGGGTTTGTATGCCAAATGCCATTGTCACTATTAGGTCAAAGTTCAAATTCATTTTCCAGGCTGTAACTTTGACCCATGGAAGATAACTATATGAAATTAAGGAATATTTGTAGGAGGCAGTGTGTAACAAACCACCATTGGGTCCATACACCAAAGGTCAAGGTCCCATTGAGGACAAATGTCATTGTCTGGGCAATAGCTTTTGTCACTTTGTGAAGAGAGCTCTATGGAATTTAAAATTGAGTTTATTTGCCCAAAGTTACATTTAGTTAAAAGGTGAAATTTAAAGGATATATGTAGGATGGAAATGGGTGGTGCTAATCACAATTGGGTCCTTACTCCCAAAGTGAAGATCACATTGAGGTCACACTTTATTGAAGTCATGGTGACCTTTTCAGGAAGCATAATCCATCAGTTTTAGTGAAACTTTAACTGTTTTTCTTGTTGCAATGATCTGCCAAGTAAGTGACGTTAGATCACTGGTACGTGACAGATGAAGTCATTCTTTATCACTACCTAAAGTTTTATGTGAATTCTATTTCCTTGCAGACCTACAACTGAAGCCATACAGAACAGACGACTTCATAACAAAGCTGTTCTACGAGACAAGTAGATTCTCTGCATTTAATCATCAATGGGTGATCAAGGCACGCATCAATAATGACCAGAAGAACCCTGCCCTGACCACTGACAGAAGCATGTCCTACCAGCTGGTCCTGAAGGGCAAGGCCAGCCAGCCCATCAACATCAGCTTCATCGCTCTCAAGGGACCATACGGAGAGATGCTCATTAACCCAGTCGTGTACAGTCAGGAGTTTTCCAATGAAAATCCAGAGACGGAGTACAAGGATCTCCCCATACACAACTCTACAGAGTGTAACAAGCTGCTGGCTTCCAAAACCATCAATATGCGACTCATTATGGTGCTCAGTAGTTCGTCATGATTGTAGTTCACATCGGTCTTGACATTTTAATGTATCTCCATATGTTCCAATTCATTTGCATTTTCCGTTAATGTTACTCAAGTAAGCCCTTATCTGACCTCAAAATACCTTTGTTTTTTATTTATTCTGTAGAGCCTTCAGACAAATCTATGCTCAAGTAATCTTCTGAATTTGTGGGAGGGGAAACCATACCTTTAGATGTATCGTGAGGGTCGGTAGAAAACAAAAAAAAATACCAGAACGTCAGATGTATTGTGGGGTCAGGTTTGGTTTTACATGATTAAACATTATCCAAAATGTAACTTATATTATGAATACATTTTTACCTTCCAAACAAAAGTGGCATTATTCTCTTGGTGGAATTTTATTTGAGGATGTTTTAATAATTAAATGAAAAAAAAGAAGTTAAGGTTACATAATGATATTGGATTGGGTGATGCTATCTTTGTTGATCCATTTTTTGGTTGTCTGGAAAATTCAAATGAGAACTAGGAAATTTTACTTAATTTGAGATAGTCTGTGGAAGGCTTACTTTCAGAAATACATGCTATATTGTCCAGAAAACACGCTTTCATATATTGCATTAGGAACATATTTAGTTCTTGCTTCAATTTCATATCCTAGAAAGAAAAAAATACACTTTTCCAGAAATCAAAGTGTCTGGACTAACAAGATTTCAATAGTCATGTTTGGGTTTTTTCCAAATAATTTATGACAAGTGTTGTCGAAGTTAGTAAAAACATTTGTTGTATATATATTATCAGAGATATTGCCACATTATCGTCTTTCAAAGTCAGTGTGTATAACTAGTTCATTGTTTACACTGTTTTGTGTGTAGTTTGTTGGGTCATGTATCATGTTCAGTTATACCCAGATATCAACCAAGTATTAGTAAAGTTTGTTAAAATGCAAGAAAAAAAATCCTTATTTCATGATTGATAAAAGAAAAGGAAAAAATTACAGATTCATTTAAATACAGGTAAATATTTTGTTTGTCTAAATTACCGTAGTGTATACATTGTACATGCCATGGAGATTAATTCCTCAAGAGAACTGGGTATTTGTTATTACTATGTGATAAATACAAAAGATGTATTTATTAGGATTTTTTTGATCTGGAAATGAAATGTGATGGGGTTTTATTTCGTGTTTTAAAAAGATTATTTGTTAATTTGTTCCTTGAGAAGGAGTACTGTTAATAGACTCTAAGAATACTTTTGTTATCAGTTAAGAGTAGCATTTAAGACTTTGTTTTGTATGTTTTTACGGTTTTATTTTGGACCTTGTACTTGATCCTCCTGTGTATTGTAACGGGTACTGCCAATTTTAATGTTCTGGTTTACACTGTACCAGATGTATAGCATCGTTATATCGGTGTGTTGGACCTTGTATATTGTGTATAAAACAAACCCTATTTAAGTAGATATTAGATTTTGCTTGTATTACCAGTGTGGCAGTTCACAGCAGCCTGAAATACTTGACATTAGTATTTATAGTTAGTATATCCTGGACTAGTGCTTCACCCGCAGTAAATGGGGCGATAGCAATTAGTCACCCACCTGTTCCCTGTAAAGCTCTGCCAGTATCACGTGATCCCTTATAATTGAGGAAAATATTAAACAGTTTTTAAAATTCTTTTGGACACCTTCTGTGTTGATATTTTGAAACAGAAATTTAGTACTTCAATTTATTCAAATTCATAAAATATTAGAAGTTTTGAAATAAAAAATAAGTTAAAATGGTCCAAATTGAGTTCCAGTAATTTTGTTTTTGTAGAGCAAGGCTGGTCCAAGACATTGGAATAATGGGAACAACTCAAAAATTTAAAAAACAATATTGTATATAGTTTTACATAGTATTTACCATGGATTGTAGTATGTATTGTTGAATACCTCTGTTGGTTGTCAGATTGTTAAATGGAAGAATGTCTGTCAGTTTTGAGATATATTTTAGAATTGTGTAAAAAAAATATAATGTTGAAAATAACATACGAATGAGAGCGGTCACCACCAAGTTCTACACATCAAGGCCATGTAATATAACAAAAGTTTGCTGAAAAGCTCTACATTTTGATTTTCACAAATACGTTAAAAAAGTTGCAAACAATTTTATTTCATAAAAAAAATATTGTTGTAATAGTCAAGTCCACATCGATATAAATTACATTTCACGGGTGTGGTGAAGGTAATAGACAGAATTTGACCAATTGCACAACAGCACCTGACAATTGTAGTACAAGATGGAGTTTCAATAAATATATTCAACTGAAAAAGTAGTTGTCTGTATTTTGTTTAACAACAGATTGTTCAGGAAACATGCTGCCATGTAACAGGAACAAATTGTATTCTTGAAAAAATCTTTTAACACTCTTCTGAGAATGTACAGGTTGGACAATGACGCCCATTACAGTGGACATTATAGACGCCCAGACATGGCTTAGTTAAGGATATAGGAACATGACTGTGCAGTGGTCCCGAAATGGACATATTTATACAATGGTACAGCTATGGATTTGACGAGGAAACTGATAACAATTGAATGTATAGGTCCAGATAGTCGACATTCGAGTACACAATGGTCCAGCTATGGCAGAGAACAGGAAGCAAGTAACAAGTGATGTTCTAGTGGTTAATTGAACAAAGTATTAAACAAGGAAACAGCCCGATGAACATCTGGACCAATACAACTTTCTATAAAGCCACTTCCGTAAATGAGTTCACTTGCAGCATAGACCATAGCCCCAGTCACAACATCGACTTCATACTGAAATAACTGCATGCTCACACCCCTGATTGAGACGATAGATACACCATTGAAAAAGTCCAACCACTTCAAATTTTAGAAGAAATTTTACCTGTCGGTTAATGGGAGTGGCTGGACTACTGGGAATACTTTTAGTAATTAAAGATCAATCTATCCCCTAAAGAAAGGGCTGAATAGTGCTACAACCTGTCCAATTTGTGCTCATTAGGCAGGTGTATCATGTGATTGGAATACATGTATTCCTAATGGGCCTACCTATTAATGGCCAGTCCAGCTGGTCACTTTTGCAAAAGCAGGCGATATCGGTGGATGTGCAGCCTACTGTTAATATTTCATAATGAGAAATGACACTTAAAATCTATCCTTTGCGAGTGCTTGTACAAATTTATCTCTCAAATAGGATGAACAGGCCATTTTCATCCTCTTCATACCAGGTTTTACAAACTCGACAAGAAATACTGATGCCATGTTGAAATTCAGCACTTGAAGGAAGTGACAACCTGGAATACCACATCATAATACCAGGTATGTCCCGTCTTAATTAGGCATAAAAAGCAACAGAGAATAGCAACATTAAAATGACAATATAATTGCACACATGTATTTGTGTTAAAAGTTATTTACCTGAATATGGAGACAGGTCTATGTCGCCATCCATAAATATTTGTTTGTAGGACTTTCAACACTAAAGTTATCATTAGCGCAAGACACAACCTCCCCTTTAGCAGCAAATCAATTTAAGTGCCTCCCTGGATAAATATGATAAATATTGAAGTTCATGGATCTTAATTTCATACATAGACCACAAATATCAATTCTTCAAGTATGGTTTTAACATTTTCCACTGTCACAGATTAACACAACAAAGAATGTTATGAAAAAAAAAATGGTTTTATTTCCTGAAATGTGGAACAATACAAAATACTTTTAGACTTACAGGTTAACATCATAAGTCTACATCTGCTGACGCTCATTTCCCACATAACACACAGCTTCGACTAGAAGTCAATAAAATCATTGAAGAAACCAACCCCTGCATTATTACAAAACTTGAAATCATTTTGGGTGTAAATATTAGACATAAAAATGTTTGCCTTTAACTGATGTCTTAGAAACAGAGAGAAATGAAAATTGAGAAAATCACTCCAAATAGTTCTGTATCCAATTAAAAATATTGCAGCATTGTATGAATATTTCTAGTATAAACCTGTACTGTACATCACAAAAATTAATTTAGATTAAATATATCACAAGTCATGTCAAGACACAATTTTTACAAAACACAAGTTTTCTATCCCCAGTTACCATACTTTTGCAGCTTTTGTACACATGCATAGTCCCATTACCATCAACTCTCTCACCACACAAACTCTCACTCAGAAAGTTAACTCATCATCAAACACCATTGACCTCACATATTCACATTAAATGTCATCTTAGGATGACTGAGTCAAAACTTGTACCTGCAAATCGTTTAATATTAGTACAGATCTTCTTTAACATAAATGATACTAGCACAATTGTACCGACAGATTTGGGTATACTGGATAGTTTTTCAAGATCCAGTCCACCAGGTCCAGAGTGTTGCCGAACAATGACATTTCACATTGCATAGTAAAGAGCTAGTAAATAGTATTACATGTATAACCAAAGTGAGGCCAATGGTTTTGAACAAGTTTTAAAGCATTACATTGGATTGAGCAATAACGAAAATTGCAAGCATTCTGGAATGAGGACTTGGAATTTTTCATCACAATACTTTATTATTATTTATATCATCTCACAAACTCAAAATGCATTTAAAAATTTACGAGGTATCAAACTCATCACCACCTTTCTCCTACATACATCCTTGCACCATTTAATCTAACAAAATGCTTATAAAGAGATCTAGATTTGATGGCAAACTAAAGATAGACATGGTTTCTTGTGAATAATTTTATAACTGCTTTACAGTCGACAAAGCTATTGTATTCCCGGTGTACGGGTATCAGTGACCTAAGTTGGAGAGCGACTTCTATGAGACAGAGGAGTTCTACCATTACTCTTCGCCGGACCCGGCGGTTCTCTTGCTCCTCCTCTGTCTCGGTGATTGCTTTGGGGATCGCTTTGGGGAGGTGTCTGAAAATAGAGAACAAGAAAATAAATATGTGTACAATGTATTGTAAGCTAGCCATTATGTGAATGAAATGAAAATCAAAATACATAAAAATTGGAAGTTTAAAGTAAACAAATTAACAGTTAACTAGAACACCAACAGCTCCTCAGCAAAGGCCCTGCCATGTGCCCGACTATATATATCACCCATAATTGCCAAATAATGTCCAGAGTAATTGTTTTGGATTTTAAACACTGGAAATAAAAAAAAATACAAACATATGTTATCTACAAAGACCAGTTACGACCAAATGATGAGCAAAATCAGATCAGCAGAACAGAAGTTTTAACCTGTAAAATCTTGGTCACTCTTAATCATTGGTAGCAATCTTGTTTTATTGTATATGGACGATACGCTCTTATTCAAAATGTAGACTATTCACTAAATCCATTTACAATTAAGTATGAACAAAATCATACGTTATAAATGCAGAGCACTGAAGTTTCAGGCAGCTGTACATCAGCACATCATTTGACATTATGTAAAACAGGCCAAAACAACACCAATATCTGATGCATCTGTTGTTGACTAATAGAATCTTCCCCTACCTTGAGAGGGTGACAGAGAAATCTCTACCCGAGGGGTGATGTTTTTGGTTGTCTAACCTGAGGCCGAGGGTTAGACAACCAACAACAAGAGTACCGCGGGGCGGAACAATATACGCCCGTTGAATGCCATAAAGTGTCATATACTTTCTTACATTGAAATAAGATCTGCATCATTCAAAGAGTGGTTAGCTGACATGCTATAAAAATGTAGGAGAAAATCTCCGGATAAAAAAATCAAATACTGAAATGAACAAAGGGCAATAACTTTTGCAAAAATCATCGAATCAAAATTCTTTTAAGGGAGACACAACTTCATATCCTGGTTATAATGTATTCTAAGTTTCAAAGAGATCGGTCGAAAAATGTAGAAGGAGATTGCCGGACAAAAATCAAATACTGAAATAAACAAAGGGCAATAACTTTTGCAAATATTGTCGAATCAAAATTCTTTTAAGGGAGACACAACTTCATATCCTGGTTATAATGTATACTAAGTTTCAAAGAGATCGGTCTAAAAATGTAGGAGATTGACGTACAAAAATCAAATACTGAAATAAACAAAGGGCAATAACTTTTGCAAATATTTTTGAATCAAATTTTTTTTAAGAGAGACACAACTTCATACCATGGTTATAATGTATACCAAGTTTCAAAGAGATTGGTCGAAAAATGTAGGAGGAGATTGCCGGACAAACAAAAGTTTACGCCGGCCGGACTGTCGGACAACGCCATACCATAATACTCTCGTCAAATTTGCAGGCGTATAAAAATCACTCTGAGGGTTGGAGATTTCTCCGTTACACCCTCAAGGTAGGGGATGATTATTTTTCTCTCATCTTTTTATTTTAGTCACAACTCCATCAACAATAATCTACCAAGTTTGTAAACAAAAACACATCTGGGGTATGAATATCGTCATTCACTTTGATGACGTCACAATTACCGGTGACGCATTTTAATGACGTCACAATAGAAACGTGCTAATCGGCATGAGGCTATCTCCCCCTAGGGGGTGACAAGCTGATCTTTCCCGGCTAAAAGATGGGAGACACGCCTGTGACAGGTGAGAGAAATATTTATCAAGGAGAGTGGGAATCCTCAGCAGACAAGCCAGGAAATATTTGACTTTCTACTCAAGTTGGATGTCTAGAGACTATATATCCTTGAGTGGCAGATAAAAAGAAAACAATCAGAATGCACATTCACTCTGGTAATCAGCTGAACACATAGTTTGCCTAGTTCCTGTTAAGAAACTTACTCATTTGAAGTGCTTCCTTTGGGATCCAGTCGAAGTCGATATCGGAGTTCTGTGTACCCATCTCTACAGGTTGTCGAGGTTTTAAAAGACGCTTTTTCTGCAATTCACAAACATTGCAGCATCAAACAAATAAATCACATATCGACAACATGTCAAACATTTTGACAAGTAAAAACATACAATATATTTAAAGGTTATAGTTGATCTATATAGAAGACTTGTCTTGGATGCCAACAGACTGAATCATTACAAACCATGAAAGAAGCAGACTTACTGCTCAAAGTTAAAAGGAGTTGACTTATTGTTACAAGTTATACAAGCAAACTTACTGTAATTGACCCTAAAAACTGCTGGGCTACAACGATGAGGAGGATAGCAATGGCAATCAGGAACAGGTACATGAAGAATCTGAGAAAACAAAACAGGACATTCAGCAAGGCAAAAATATCTTCATGTGTTGTTTTGCACGAGACACTTTGCTTCGAGACCTGGTAAAAATTTCACTTCAGAACAGATACCGGTAGGTAATTACTTCATGAAATGTCACAAAAGTAACTATAATTTGGCAGGATGTTCTCTACGCTTATAATGTATGAGGATATGTCCTATAAGTTCTGCCAACAACAATTTAATCAAAATTCAAGATATTAATACCTGGAATCATTTCTTCCTAAATGTACATGACTACAGATTGCAATATTAGTGATTTTGTTTAACTAACAAAGTTCTTAAATGCATATAAACCAGATGGAAAAACGTATAGATTCTAGGATTTGTTTACAAAAAAATATTTTTTCAAGCTCACGAGGCGAGTTCAGAGAGAGTGTTGCATTTTTCGACGGGGAAAATTTACCTATAAAAGGGATACTATTTGGACTGGATTGTTTCCTGATAATGTTGATCAAAAAGGTTATTGCTCTTGGTTGGGGCACTAGTCTCATAGTTCTGTCTCAGTTTGAAACATCACATCATTCAACAACACTCCTACACTAGTAATTAGAATCTTTCAATATAACCGACAGCATTTAGTATTCCAGTATTCTGGTATAAAAATAATTCCCATATTGCACTGCAGCAGCGTCATTATTTTTTCATAAATGTAGAATTGTACAAAAACCATTTTTAAGGGAGGTGATATTCCACTTTAACTCATTCACCCTTAAGACACATTTGAACCTTTCCAACACAAAGGTTGGAATAGTTCATTATGAAATTTCAGGGGTTAATGAGTTAATCAAATCAACAGAGCATCTTCATAATCACAATTAATTTCTAATGTTTCATCAAAGTATAAAAACGACTCTACCACTTACGTTTCTCCATCCAAGCCCTCATCAGGTTCTATGATGTTCACGGTGTCGTTATATACAGCGTGTTGGTATTGGGTTCCAGCCTGAAAAACAGTAGTTTAAATATCTTGTTCTCATTTGTTGGTCAAGCTTATACAATTAAGTAATGAAAGGTCCTATAACTACATACAACATCACAATGAAGACGCAGTGCAATCTTATTCTTTCATGTTATTCTTGCAAATCTTAAAGAAAGCCTTTAGTTGCAAAAAATACATAAAATTAATTCGATGTTGTGGCCACACCTAATGATTAACTGAAAAAACAATATGACATTGAAGGACAAATTTTGAAAATGGAATTAAGCCATACATTATTGTTAACTTGTTATATATAGTTGGGTAGTCATTGTCAGGTAGATGTGGCCCTTAGTTTTTGTTTAAATAAGTACTTTTATTTCACAAACTTTTGATAAACTTTAAAACCATAGAAATAAATAACTGTTCCTTATGTCTTAATATTCTAAAAAAAATATTTAAAAAAACCAGAAAGGTGTTTGCGTTTTGTACATTGAATAATAGATATGACATTTGTTTCTTATCTCTACATTCGCATCCCTTAGTTTTATCTCTATTTAAAACAATTTAAAGAAGCAATATATTTATTTAAAAGCTGTTTATGTTACCTAGGGGGAAACACTTACATAAAAAAATTCATATCACAGTTCCTATAATTGTTAGAGAAAATGTTTAAATGAAATGTAGTGTTTTTATCTCCTCTAAAACTGTATTAAAATATTGCTGTCAGTAAATTTGATCAAAGATTAAAATAGCATTTTTATTTGGGCCCCTTCCTTAAAAACAACAAATCCAGATTTTCATTCCGCTTTCCGGTCTGTACTTTACACAATCCAAGATGGCGACCATCACTAACTGAATACACACACTAGCTTTAGCGTTGTCAAATGCAATCATATGCGAGTAAATTAATGTATAATAGCTGAATCAAGTGTTTGTTTGTTAATCCTACAGATTACCTCAATTAATCACCTATTGACCATGCTAAAAAGATCTGGTGGTAATTGCTTTAGGCTCCAGTGAGCACGCTTGCTGGACCCCTGTGGGCTCCCGTCCAGTCCCCCTCCCCACTAATTACAGGACTCCTGTAGTGATACGCCTATCATGCAACTGGCCAGTGTGGGGTTAGTGCTGGACTTAGGTCAGCCTTGTTATTTAACCAGTGTCAATTTCTTGTGTAAAAAGACCCCCTTCAGTAAAAGTAACAAGGTGATGCGGTTTATAGTCCAAGGTGATACGGGTCAATTGAGCTGATACGACAGGGAGGATTTCAAACTGAAGCTGATACGGAGCCCTATCAGCTAAATGGCTAGGGGAGAACTCAGATGACAATAAATGAATATTAACTCTGATCACAAATAGAAGGTTCCTTTTCACACAAAAAAAACGGTTTTTATATTACAAGCGCAGGAAGCACTTTACCGACAAGGAAGCAATTATGAAATATTTAATATAGCATAAAATGGTGTTAATTTGGTCCTATCACTTAAATTTTACAAAGATATCAAAATTAAAAGTTTTCATCGTAAATTTCTTATAGTAAATCTCAAAAAAAAAAAAATGAGTTATCAAAATGTTTTTTTGCTTGCTGCAACTTGCATAGCAGATTTTAGAAAAATACCTTTTACAGCCAACTTACATCATCTTTGTAGTTGAGGAGAATAGTCAGTCCAAAAGGTCGAGATGCAAATGTGTCACTTGGGGTGAACCCGTACTCGAAAGTGGCCTGTTTGTTGTTTTCAACCTCAGCATTGTATGTGGCCGTGGTGAACTATAAAATAAAAACAACAATTAACCACATTAAATCTTTCCCTTTTTAACTTTGTTATCAATGGTTTTTATTTGCTTCAATTATGTATGGAGATGGTACCCATGCAGACACCATTCTATACAGGAGTTAAACTGCCCTACATGCCAAACTCTTCCTGAATGCTTGACATGTCTGTTAAAAACTAGTGTCACTCCAGTAAAGCATTGTATACACACTGATCCAAATATCTGGAAACTTTTTTTTTTTTTAAGCAGTAGAAAACCTTCCCTTGACAAAGTCCATTAACAGAAGTCATTCCCAAATGCTCCAAGATAGTACCAGCTGCTCGGGAGGGACACTATAATAAACAACTTCTCAAGCTGACATACAAAACGTATTGACTGCTGAAGCATGCATATTAAACTACTGACTGGGCATATAACATAAATAGATTTGTACTGGTGATATTTCAAGACACTTACACCTGTTTCCCCTTTTGATTTTACTTGTTCCAGCTGAGCTATATCCTCATTTGAATGTACATGTACAACATTGATGTAGTTAGATACTGGTAATAAGATTATTTTTTTTTTTTTTATGTTCCAAGCAACATTTGTTCAGTGAATCATGATAAATTTGAGACCATTTTATCAGTAGGACTAGAATGCATCCAATACTTACATTCTGGATGTAGAAACTATAATCTTGTGGGTAGCGGAAGGACGCCTCCAAAGTTTCCACAGTGAAGGTCTTTTCGCCATTGTTTGTGAATCCAACAAGGAACCTCACCAATTGACCAGCAGGGAGATCTGAATTAGAAAGGCAGGAATTGTCACAAGTGTAATCTTAAACCAATATATACTGAAATGAAAGGATGTTCATAGTCATATGTAAATAACACCAGATGGAGTTACTTTTGATTTTCAATAACCCCATTCTTCAAAGCTCTTTGGAAGAAAAGTTTATCTGATCATCAAAAGTCAAGAAATCAATTGAATATGAAAAACAAAAGAACTGCGTAGCAAAGCACTATATGCCAGTGATATTAATTGAACTTGATGTTATTTGAAAACATGTCACTGCCGCCTTATTATAGATCAACATTAGAATACACTGGTAAAATAAATGTAAGTGAAAGAGATTCAAATGCAATAAGGATGCAACATAAATTTAAAGAATGAGTTTTGATTATTTTGATATTGAACCACAAGACTTTAACAATGGCACATTCAAACGGAATCTTAAGATCTTTTTGGCTAGTTTTTAATATAGTGCAGACATGAATGTCTTGCACAATAATGTTAACCCGTAAGTATTACGTTAGTGCAATCAATCCAATGGTAATGTCCTGCATCGATAGGTACTAAATCACAAAGGGACATAACTCTCGTCAAGTCTCCATTTTAAGATGTGCTTTGTAATGGTTCCTACCACACAAAATGCAAGATATTTGATAAAAAAAACTGTATAACTACTTCAAGGTAACAAGAAAATGGTAGCTAATGGATGGAATGAAAGCATACTCAGCCTAAAGGACATCATTTGTAAATCCACAAGAGTATATGTAGTACCAGTATGTCTGATTTTAACCATCATCATGAGCATCAATTCCTATTTTTCTTCTACAGGTGTATACATACTTTTTCCAGTGCAAGATTAATAGAATCTCTCATACCCCTGGGGTGATAGGGGGAATCTCAACCAGAGGGGGGAGATTCCACTATCTCACCCACAAGGGGGTGAATGATTATTTTTCTCTTACCCTGTTCACCCATTGTGTATCATATACAAAATGTAATGTTAATGTCACAGGATAAATTCAGGGTTGAAGTGACGTCATACCATTGTTATGAATAGGGGAATGCAGTCTAGGTGAGACGAGGAAATCTCACACCAGTAAAAGTGTGGATATACCTGTCCAGGGTAAGAGAAATCCTTTTCTCATCCCAAGGTTGACTGAATTGCATTATATACATAAAAGGGTCAACAGGATATGAGAAAAGGAAAAATGTATTCACCCATCAGAGGGTGGAAGACTATAAATCTTTCTTGTTTTACCTGTGGTATCAACAGGTTTGGTGAACAAGATGACAGCATCAGCATCCTCTGACGGTTTCACTTTTTCAACTTCTTCCTCTTCTTCCTCATCATCAGTCTTTTCCGTCTCTGTTACTGCTGCACCTTCTTCCTCTCCAGCTTCTTCAGTTTCCACAGCAGCATCGTCATCCTCTTCTCCCTCCATGGCATCGCCGTGGTCATTATTGTCAGCATTGGCAACTAGACCCCCTGCATTTCCTGTATTAAAATAGAAAATTTCTATAGATGTCACATCATGATCAGCACGCAATACAAAAAAATATAGGTGAAATCCCACTTTTGATAGAAGACCCTTATTTTATCATTTAGAGATCAGCAGGTGTCAGCAGGTGAAAATTTTCTCTCATTCCACAAAGAAGCAAGCTGCTATTATTTTAGTAATAGGTAGCTCCACGTCTCCAGTCGCTTTACGTACTGCTTTTTCTTTTTATTTCCCGTTTGCTTATCTAGAGTAGACGTTTTACCAAAAGAATTGGAACCAGATGTTGATGAAAGCGTTTTTTTGTTTAGTATAGAAATCTTTATATTTCCCAAGACTTGAATTTTACCTGAATTTTCCGCACACAAGTGCTTAAAGTCAGATTCCTTATACCTAGCTACCGATAGCAAGATTTACATTTACCATAACAAAATTGTATAATCAAATTATCAATACAAAATATACAGTACTGAATTGTGACTGCATAATTATGTAAAACCGATATCTTCATACTCATTTAAATTTGTTTGGCCTCTATTGAAATAATTACACTTGAATTGCCACAGACTGAAAGTTCATATTATAAGAAAACTGATTTACGGTTCTCCTTCCACTAGTTTAAATATGCTGACAAATTCATTTACGCATATTCAAAGATTTGCCATGAATCCACCGTTATTGATTGGATTACTAAATGATTGAAAAAATAAGACATTTCCAAACAGTTCTTCACCAGAAGTGCAAAGAGTTCCCCAGATTTTCCTGTTGGTACAATAGATCTATGTGGATTCATTAGGTTGCCTTACAAGCGTTAGCTGTAGGGAATTTCCCTTTAGCTCAGCGATAAAACATCATGCTGGAGAGCCAAGGGTCGCGGGTTCGAGCCCCAGCCACAGCACTATCTTTTATCACTATTAATCCTTGTCCTATTAGAGATTAGTGCCGTTGACCCTCCCCGTTCAAGGTAGGAGAACCCTTGGAGGGGAGTCAAAGGACCTTGGTTGATGTTTGAAAAAAGGGGGGGGGGAATAGTGTAATAGATGTGGATTAAATAGGTTGCCTTACAAGCGTCAGCTGTAGGGAATTTACCTTTAGCTCAGCGATAGAGCATGCTATTTATAAATCAATATGTAACGCAAATCATTCAGAAAAAGTACTCCATGTATTACTTTTGAGTTTTCTTACCCGTCTCATTATATGACTTATAAACTGGTAAAGGTAAGGATCTTTACAGAATTTTGAGGCAAGAGTTAGAAGAAATCCTTATTTCACAACCATACGTGTATACCTTATCATTCAATTTGTTTCAGTGGTGAAACCGTCATGGTTTACAAGTACATAATATGTGTACACAAAGAGCTTCACTTATATTAATTTCAGAAAGAGGGAGTGAAAATATCAAAATTGACACCAAAGTTTTATAAATACGCCTACTGAAACATTCGTTACAATCTGGGTTATCAGCTTGACATGTCAACTTCTTTACAGATGTTTGTGAGAGAAAATCGCGGTTTCCTCGCGAATTTTCTTTAATGTCATGACGTTTAAGTCAAATCCTTTAAATTGTCAACGAAATCTACACCAATTTCAAAGTGAAGTTTAACCAATAACCACACTTTACCCTATTTCGGTAGCATCAACAGGTGCCACGTAGGTAAAAATATCGTAAGCCGGTTAGTGTCATAAACAATTAGGCACTTACCATTTCCAAACAAAAGCAATGTTGATGGTAATACGAGTAACAAGAATAGAACGAAGTTCCCCAAAAACGATTTCATCTTGAATAAATATTAAATTTCCTTAATTCACACAGATGTCGGCGGATTCCTAAAATTTTCAGCGTAAACAGTTCGATGTAATTCCGGAAACAGAAAGTTCAGCCGGCCCGTCAGAGTACAAACAACGGCATTTTTGATTGGACAGTATTGGCACTGTATATAAACATTGACCAATCAAATACCTTGTGAGATCCACCTCTAGAACCGGAACAAAGCCGGTGCTCAGGAGAGAAAAGACGAAGGTATCTTGTATTTATAAAAAAGATTGTGATTTAGGTTGTCTCAAATCAAAATTTATCACGTTAACTTGACATTGCGATAAACCTTACTAGAATAGTATGAAAATAAGCAGATTTTATGATTGACAGGCCGCAACAAAAATTTAAAACGACAACTAACGAGTTAACTGTAGCAGACGATTTTTTTCAGTTATAACATTTTATTGTGACAAATTTCTGTTATAACATTGTTTGCTTCTTCGGTAAGGAAATGCACTGATAGTGAGCCTGAAGTCAGACCTATGTCAACGAATTTTAGTCCTTGTCAACTTGTCTTCGTCTAAAAAATATTAAAAAAGGATAGTAATTGCCAACAGGATGGCTGTGACATTGTATGAATCTATTGGTAACTATGTCTGTAACAGTACATTCTACAGCAGCATGTGAGTTTTTGTCTACAATATGATTTATATAAAAACCTGCCGACTATATTGTTGAAGAAGGATTGGGAAAGACTTTGTACTAATATTAATATGATACCCATTTAACCCAGCCTCCCCTGCCCCGGCCATGATGTATACAAAAAAATGTCTCATCAGTTGAAGCTACATTATTGCATTAACCCGGCTAGGAAAGACTACTACTTGTCTGAAAATAGTTTGACTGACAACTGCCTTCGATCTTGTTTTGACAGGGATTCCCATAAGAAAAGAAGATAGTGTTTTATTTCTGACCTGGTGACCTATGCATGCTAGGTATAGCTCAATTTTGGTTTGAGTTCATATGTATACCGGTAGGTCCCAGATTTGAATCCAGGTCAGGCCCCATTGCTAGCCTGAGTTACTTCTGGCCCTGACACCAGACTTAGACATTTTGACAGATAGATATCCACCACACATTTACGTGTAACCTGCTTTTGTTTCAAGAAGTATGTACATCTGACAAGGGGATACCTGAATCCCTGTTGTAAATAGCGTTGTTTATGAGGGCGAAACTAAGAAAAATAAAAGTGTGTGGTGGAACTGGAATGGGTGGCCACCAATGAGCAGGCACCTTTACCACAATTGGTTAGAATATTCATGGAGAGTTTTGGGATTCCCGGTATTTGATGGATTTTTTTTAATTTTACATTTTCATCCTTATTATATCACAATTTGTGTATCAGAGTTATGTGCTCAAATTGAAAACTCTGATCTATGCAAACTGTCCATGGACGTTTTCCATCCATCCATCTTTACAATCGGTTCCAAAAATCATATGCAAAGCTAGGTACCATGGAGTTTTTCGGAATTGTTTTCATAGGAGGTTATAATAGAAAATGAAATATTTTTTTGCATAGAACAATGCAAACTGTATTTTCATAACTATCATATTATTAGAATTTTATAATTTTCCTTACTTTTTAGTGATGAAAGGGATGACAAGACACCATCGTTTTTACCCGAGGCGGTCCAGCTAAGCTGCAGTCAGCACAGTATTCCAGTCTGCCAGTAGTTAACGACTATGGAAATCAGTAAGTTGTTTTGTTAATTCTGTTGATGTGTTCAGTATTCAGATATATACTGGGTAATTGTTGGAGCTTTGAAGAGAATACTAACGTATTACGTATGGTTGATACTTTTATAGTCTTGTGTTTTTATACCATATCAATATGGATTAATTAGTCCAAGTCATGTTTTGACTTTGTATTTTTGTCCAATCTTTTTTTGATCAACCAAGTGAAACGATATTTGATTAAATGCATGAAGATATGTACATTTTATATATTTGTCCTGGTACATGTATGCATATTGTGTTTTTATACATATATAGTAGAAAAAAACGTCTTTTGCATTTTATAAGAAAACTCTTGACTTGTACTAAGAAATGCAGAAAGTCTGATCTATAAGAGTTACCTCCCTTCAGTTGAATCCAAAAGATAGAGATCTGGTAAAAATACCCTCCTACTACAGATATTCCACCAGCCACTTTCAGGAAAAAATAAGAGAATGGTATTGGGTAACTGTGAAACACACTGAAATTAACCGCCTACTTTGTGTGGTTACATGGAACTTGAAATCTTATTCAAACCCCTGGATGATTCATGTACATTTAAGTCATCTGGCACAAAGTGCCTTGGTAGAGCATCATTTTATTCTTTCATCTTCTCTTCCTTTGAACAAACTCTGCCCCATAAGCATATGTAACAATGTTCTATTGTGATACAAAATGTGTTTGGTTTGTAGCTTACTGTGAAGAACGGCTCTCAGTTTTGTTGAAATGAATTATATCTTGATCCGTATTCTAAGTCATATGGGTCAAATATGTTTATCAGATGATTTAACCAGATTAAATGTGTTGAAATCCTAACCAACTTGCTCCTGTGTGGATATAAGCTGAATGTACTCTTAAAAGAAGGATGTTTTAGGATTTACCTGCGTCTTCGCTTAGTACAGTCAATACATACAAAAAAAGGTTAATCAAGAGAACTATGTTAATTAAAGATGTAACAGTACATCCTTGGCTCAATAAATATAATTAATTTGTCATCATTCATTTCCACAAATTTCATTTCTTATCCCTTTGTCATTAAAAAAATCACATAAGCATTCAGAAACATCAGTTTTTGTACAAGTTTGAAGATGACACTCTTGTTCAAAGACAACGTCATCATGACTACAAATACAATTTTACGGGCTTTCTTTTCTCTCTGAATAGTGATTGTCATAAAATATAAACTGTATAAACATCTCTCTCTTGTGCAACATTTCAGTCTTTCTAAGATCACTGTTACTATAACTAGAATATTTGATGCCATCAACCCTAAGTTGCTACATACATTTCTGAACATTTCAACTGCAAGGATGTTTGGGATACCTTGTCAGTTTCCTTTGTAAAAATATCTTTTATTCTTTTATGTACGCACAAGATAAGCTTTGTTTGATCTGTGTTTTATTGTAACAATTCTTTTTTTTTTTCATTATTTCAAGGTTAATTAGTCATAGGCCCAAACTATTGGAAAGTTATTTTACTCTGACAGTATGTACATCCTTATTCCATAAAGTTAAAGGTGTGATTTAAAACTTAAGTGTGCAACCTCCCTGGACAAAATCATATGTCATGTACAAAGAACTAAGCAGGGCAGGGTGTTGTCAGAAAATCTGAACTTTAAAAGTCAACAAATACAAACAAGAAACAGGAGTAGAATCAATTAATAGCTAATAAAACGATTAACAGTAGATCCTCCGTCACATTTGGCCTTGAAGCATGTCAATGTTTCAAGACCGTCATTATGTTAGGCATGTTTCCAGACTCTTTTACACAGAATTTCCCTGTCATTTTCTATCTGACATCCAAAATGGACGTTTTGCTGGCAAATTTTAAACATACCCTTAGCATATCAGACAAAGAGTTCTTTATCGACTGCCACATTGCCAAAAAATATGCGCAAGAAATGATGAAGTGAAACTAACTCATTTTTTGCATTGTCAAATTTTCAGATTTAATAGCACAATAATGTGATGTATTTGTATGCTACAATATTATGCAATTATTTTTTTACAAAGAAATGTATTGTACGGTAGTGCAACCATAAGCACAATGTTTAAAGCTTGGAAAGTGCTAAAATAAGATTGCTATAAGTTCCAGATTTTGTAAGAAATAAACATGTAAGGTAGTGAATCATTACACCTTTACATATGAATAACACGATAGGTGAAAGGTATTCTAATGAAAAGTCACAATTTTGACTGCCTAGGGGTAAATGTAAAAGTACAATTTTAATATTTGAGGGATTTTTTTTAAATTTTATCTCTTGAATTTAATTTTATCGAAAAGTTCAGAATTTCTTCAACACTAATAAAATAACTAGAACACTTTAAAGATTTCAAATAAACTTTAATGGTTAAGAATTCATTTACATTGAGCATTGATTTGGTAATAAATAAAAAAAAATGTTGAGCTGCATGTTTGATCTATAAACGTATATATGGAATGATCTATGCTGACTGGTCTAAATTGTGCAACTTTCAGTGGATTACTTGGATTATTTGTACAAGGAATGCATTGCATGCAAATATATTCTGCACAGCTTTTGAGAAAGATTCAATATCTCACCTATTTTTTCATACATAAATGCAACAGAATCCTGACAATAGTTTTAAGGGTATTGACACACAGCTACAGGTAAAACCCACCTAGTCCGTGAAGGCAATTGATGCTATCACAGTTTTGTAATTGGTTTTAATGCGACAAATCAAAAATCATTACAGATTGACGGTAAAGTTAAATTGATTATTGTACTTGGATGGACTTGCCTTGGTGTGTGTGGGCGCAACATCACGCAGTGTAAGATTAGCGCTGGATATATTGTCAGAGATATCTGTTGATTGAGAGGGAAAATGAATTGGCAATAGCCCATTATCTTACAAATGACGGGGAAGTAATCATTGTTCTCGCTACACGCTGCTGATATAGGTCACATTCACCCGATTACACCGTAGTGATAACTGCTCTCTCCCTAAAATGGTATATGCATAATATGAAGCTTTATAAAATCAGATCCTGGAGCTAAATTTCCTGCCAAGTGGTCATGATTATTGTTTCCAGAGGCATAAAAAGGATGTTAAGACACTTTATGGAGGATATTACGTGTACACATTTTACATAAACAAAATTAATTTTGTTGGCATTGATTTGATAATATTTTATATAATTACATAAACCTTTCTGCACTTATACCTCCTTGTCATTTATGATAGTTTCAGACACAAGTGCTTCAAGTTTATTCTATTTGTTTAAAAATACTGATGGGATCAGAGACGTATATAACACATTAAACGTCTCTGATGGGATGAAGAGCAGATCTAAGTTTTAAGCTCACCTGGCCCGAAGGGTCAAATGAACTTATGCCATGAGGCAGCGTCAGCCAACTTTTTCC